TTTAATAGGTAGATTCAAGGACAAACAGTAGTGAGTAGGTAGAAGATTTGAGTGGGGTTGTTAATTTACTATTTAATTTGTGTGTACAGTGTGTATATATATATATATATATATAATGCATTTTTTAATATTTAATAGGTAGAGTGGGCTTAAGCCGAACAACGAATAACCTGAAACCGTCTAAGTTAGGATGCGTTGTTCGGTTTGGAATTTTTTTACACCCTTGAGTGTGCCCCCAATCACAAAAATTTCTAGATCCGCCACTGCTTGGAAGTCTCCCTTTCTATATGAACATGAGTTCACTTATGAACAATATGATTATGTTATTTCAAGTGTGTTTGGATGTTTATATATGTTCAGGTGTTATATGCATTGCTTGGATGTTCACAAAAGTTCACTTGGTTGTTCCATCTTTCCATGTGTTAACAAACAATGAACATAGTAGATTTATGGAAACATGTTCACGTATGAACAACGAAATTCTGCTCAACCATTAACATACTGGAACTTGAATAGGAATGAGAGAAGTTGAACATGTAAACATAGTGTCTATACTTTCCTCCATACTGTTCGAATCACCACTACGAAATTATCATACACTTCACAACTTGTTCATTCGAATTAATCATTTGATCAAGTATAATTTTATTTAATGAAGAAATAATCTTTTTTTTTTAATAAAGAACCTATTTTAGTGGACGGTTTTAAATGTTCTTTTTTTTTAAAAAAAATTATTGTTTTTAAGTTAGGAAACAATTTTCATACATATCTACACCCATTTTAATCTAAATCGTCAATTTCAGAGTCTTTTTATGAATATATACATATAATATGCATATCATACAAGCAAGAGTCCAAATCGAATATATTCATCTTATATGATATGTAGGTATCGTCTTATGAATATATATATATATATATATATATATATATATATATGCCTATCATATGCATCTTATGTGATACATAGGTATCATCTATGAATATATGCATAGCATATGCATCAAAGAAGAATAAAACAAAATCATAAAATCGTATATGAATAATCAGCAGATGCATATATGATAGCATGTATGTGAACAATCCAAAAGAAGATAGAAAGTGCATATGCATATCATAGTCTTGTTAATTCCTTAATGTACAAGAATAGATCTACTACACATATGGACTTCCATAATTTTATACACAATGATTTCAGATTTGCAGTCAAATCAATTTATTTTTGCCTAAAATGTTTACTTCCTTCCAAATGGGATATCTTTTTTAAAGCCTGTTAATTTCATGTTGAAGCAACTTTTCTTTGGAGGATCCCAAAATCAATTCCCAAAAATGGCCTCCTTAATGATAATTTTCTTCCTCGTGTCTCCTTAATGAGGCTAATAAATTGCAAAAATGCCACCGGTTTAGAGAGAGACGTTGATCAAATTAATCTACGGTGTAGATCGGGTGCATTGGTTGCAACATTTAAGAGGGTTGCATTTGATGAGCC